TTCCCCCCAAAAACTTTGAAGAGGGGGCTGGAGTTGTTAGTGGCAAGATAGGGACGGTACTTCCCACCCAAAAACTGTGAAAAGGGGGGACCCGTGGGGGTGATAGTGTTAGGGGGGGCTTCTAACTGCTGTCTGGTCCAAGTTGCCCTCGATACTGGTCGGGTGTTGGTCCTGAGTGCTGGTCACACTGAGGTAGGATAGTAGGGATAGGGGGTGCGCTGGGAGCATTAAGGTGGGGAAGGATAGGGAAGGTGGCCTATCCTGTCAGCACAAGCACCGGCTGCTGCCAGCGATCACTGGGGGTCTAGTCCTTGGCCTTTACGACAACCTCGACCTTACAAAAAAGAAAAAAGAAAAAAAAAAAAGAGCGCTACGGCCAACGGGGGGGGGGGAACCGGCCCGGTCCGGTCCAGTTCCGGTTGGGGAAGGGCCCCCCGGTCCTACCGGGTTTGCAGCCTTGTTTACAACGCATACTATTTGTTATGTTAGGGGGAAGAAGGTAGTGGAAGCGGAAGCCGACGAACCTTGCCGTACCGGAACTTTGGACGCCAGGCTCATGCAATCTTCTACAGGCCTAATTCAGAGAGTCTACCCAGCAGAAATACCTGAGCAAGGCAACAGGCGCACACGGACACATCCTACTGTCCTTCCCCTAACCTACCCAAGGCTAGGCTGAACTCAGACTGGCTGGAGCGACTTTTATCCCTACCCTACCCAAGAGCTAACCAAAGCGTGAGTAGACCCCGTCGTGTACCTGATAGAACCCCCCCCAGCCCGGTATCATAGTTATGTATATATGTGTGCCCAGAGGCTATGTATGTTTGTATGAGGCCGTAGGCTGTGTATATATTCGCGAGCCATGTTCGTGTCTGCCCGAAGGCTATATGTATATGCTCTGTGTAACTGTATACTAGCCAGATGTATATGCCCGAAGGCAAGATATGTGCAGTACTATGAAAAGGAACCTATGTGTTCCTTGAAGAGATGACACGCCAAGCTGGACAAGAGCCCCCCCAAAGTCCCAAGCCAGACAGGCCAAGCTGGACAAGATCCCCCCCAAAGTCCCAAACCATAGATCATGCGACCTGAAGACTCGGCCATTTGACCAACAATCGCAAACGTCACCTGTATGTGATATGCGCGACTGGGGAGATCAACAGAACAACCACGAGCAACAGGGACAAGCAACCCACCCAGCATCAAGACCCTACATACAACACCCTGGACAACCCTTGGGTGGTGCACAGGCAGTGTCTGTAATAGCTTACCCATGCGCTACCTACGCTTACCCTTGGGCTGTGTGTCCAACCGTGCATCATTCTAACACCCTGCTGGTGTCCATCCAGCCGACGCCAGCCGTGGATCATTCTAACGCCCTGCTGGTGTCCCTGCGCAAGGCTGCGGAGTTTTGAAGCTGCAACCTCATTATTATTATGTTATAATACCGCAATGTGCATTTCCAACCGGTGCTCTAACCACTGAGCCACATCAACTTCCAGTGGACAGAGATGAACAGGATTCGGGATAAGAGGCCATGGTACAAACTTGCTCACCTGTTCCAAAAACTCAGTACTAAGGGCGCAATCCTTTTTTTTTCCTTTTCTTGACACGTTACAATCGTTGACACTTTTTGACCCATGAGTGCAGCAGGAGGCTTCCCTCACGCTGGCCTTGTGCCTTCCACCTCGTTACACCACCAACTGAGGGCGTACTCAGACTAGCACCATCTAAAATGTATCTGACCCCAGTTACGGCCGGACCTGGATGTATCTGACTGTAATCACGTCCACAAATAAGTAAAAAAGTCCTGCTGTGAGTATGCACTGCCAGACCTGGATGTATCTGACTGTAATCACGCCCACAAATAAGTAGAAAAGTCCTGCTGTGAGTATGCATTGAGGGCGTACTCACACCAATCTTAAATGTATCTGACGCATGGACAGCCATACGTGTATGCATCTGGCCGCAATTCCGTCCAGAAATAAGTGAAAAAGTGCTAGTGTGAGTATGCCCTGAGTGTAGAGGGAGTTCATTTATTTTTGGGAGGGGGGGGGGGGGCGCGATGTACACATTTYTTTTTTTTTTTTTTTTTTTTTTTTTGGAATGTAAMAAAACAGCGTTGTGTGAGATTCCTGCCAGCATTGATTGCCCCGGGAACCGGGGGATTGACTGGGCAGGCAATTTGAGAGGGGGGGGGGAACCTCTTCGCCCTGAACTCGGCGCCAGATCCCTGATGCAACACCCTAGTTCCTCTCTCCGCCTATTAATGAGTACTTTGGAGACCAGCCTAATGACTGAACAAGAAATGGAACATTTTGAAGGGATGATTTACTGAGCCAGTTGCTGACATCCCTAGTATGGAAAATCAAATCATTTATAACTTCTTACTAGGAATTTACCTGACTCTGAGCTGCACCATTGATAGCCCCTTTCCCAGTCTTAGGAGGACTAGCCAGGTGGGGAGGGAGGTGAGGAGGGCAGGGTCTGCATCCAGGGGGCGACTGGAGCAGGCAACCTGATACTCCTATACCCGTTCTCCATCCTGACTGGTCCCACTAAGACTGTGCTGTGCGGGTTCCACTGTGTCTCGGCCATACCAACTTAGCTCAACTAAGGTGTTATCTGGTGGTGGGAACAGGTCGGGGAAATCTGGGGCGGGGGGGAGGGGTATGTCGCTGGGGATCTCAGTCCATTTATGAAAAAACAAACGATAGTCCTTTTGAGATGATTCCAGTCGATCATTTCCTTCCAAATGCCAACCGTCCCATTGTATCCATGCAATCCATCCTCCTCGTTCCCCACCCAACCAGTTCATGCAGAATTTGTGGAGTTTCTGAACAATATCTGATCTTCGTGTGAGAGCCTTCATCCCTTGTACTGTCTTTTTCCACTGGGCTCTGATTGCGGTTTCGATCATTTCCTTAATCATTTCCTTATTTCCCCACTTCCAACGCAGGCACCTTCAAGAGCTAGAATGCATCTGCGCCGCCATATAGCCCATAACACTGCTGCCCTGCCAATCCTAAATAAATTGGTTGTGAAGGACGAGGTTTGGGCCGACCAGTGACCAGTTAGTAAGGCTCTCCATTCCCACGGCCAGTCTCTGTCCGCATGTAGTTGGTTCCAGATCCGGACCCAACCATGCCACGTAAGGATAGAGGCTGGGCACTGTAAGAAAATGTGCTTTATTGTCTCGTTGCTCTTTCGAGAGGGGAAGCCCGCCACACACGCTAGACACCAGGGGAGAGCCAACCCTTTCTGTTCCAGGTGTGTATGGTCTATGAGCCATGCGTTCGTCGGTAAGCATCGGTGGGTAATCTGCCATTGAAGCGAAGTGGTCTTGGCCGGTCTATTCTTCACTTTTTTAAACCATTTGATAGGTTTCAGGTCTGCATGTGGGACATTTAAGTGTCGAGCCCAGCGTTCTACTATACGGTCCCTCAGATTCAGTCCTGAACATTCGATAGGTCGCTTTAGCGCCTAGTGTATGGAGGTACCGGTATTTGGGTCTTCCGTTCTTTGTTGAAATCTTCCATCTCCATTCTGCCAAATCTATGGGAAGATCCTGGATTGGTACTTCCGGCCAGAATACCACCCAGGATTCTTTTTCCTTTAAAACTCTCACCCTGTGAACTATCTTGTCATCAATCCAAAACACTTCGTCAGGCTCAACCCTGATTAAGTGGTTTAGTTGTGTCCGATAGAAGAAGTTCACCAGCACCTCCCCCGGTCTGACTATAAGTACTTCCCCTACCCGAGTTGCATCCCCACTTAACACAACCAAGTCCCCTTCCTGTACTTTTGGCCCCCGTCGTAGAGTCCGCACCCATGCAAGGGGGAGGGCAAAGAGTATTTGATCCCACCTCTCCCCTATCTTTTGGCAATGGGGGAGTTTCTCTCTCAGCTGCTCTTCTGAGAGCCAATCATTCCTTGTTTGGTCCCATAAGTGTCCCACCCTTGTGACCCTTTTCTTCACCCATCCATTCCACGAACAATCTGAGCTGAGTACCACCCACCCCTGCCGGTCCGTTATCCAACGGTTGCCGAAGAGCGGTTGGCGGACGACTTCCTCCCACCTTTCGGGGAATGGCCTATCTGGGAGTGGGAGCCGCCGCCAATCTTTAATTAGATTGGTCCAAAATCCATCTTTTCGCAGGTCCTGGCGGGCTGCAGCGCGATCTGAGTGTGGTTGGGGCCGGGTGGGGGGTCTGGGAATTGTCCAGAAAAGGTCATCTAGCCAGGCAATAGGGTGTGTGGTGGGTGCAGCCTCCGGAGCCAGCCTCGACAATTGTTCCCAGGCTAGGGGTTTCCAGGTAATACCTGGGGAGCAGATAAGCCGTTTCAGCCATTGGAGCGAGAGAGCGGCTGTTTGGGTGGCAGGGTCGAGTATGCCCAGACCCTTTTGTACCTTTGGCTGCATCACCACATCCCAGGCCACCCGACTGATAGTGTGTTGGGCTTCATGGTTGCGTCTCCATAAGAAGGCTGCCACCTGTTGTTTCAGGGTCTTTGACGCATCTCTTGAAAGAGGCCAGATTGCCGACTTATACCAGATTGACGCCAAAACCACGTTATTTATCACCAAGGCTCTACCCAATAATGACGTATGTTTATCTTTCCAGGTTCCCATCTTTTGTAGGGTCGGGCACATTATCCAATAATCATTACTAGCAGGCTTTCCTTCGGCCGAGAGTGGAATTCCTAGGACTCTTATGGGGGTTTCCAAGGGGTGCCATGTCACATTGGGCCGCTCTGGGGGTCTTCCACCATCATGATGCATCCACCATCCTAATGTCTTGTTGCCCCAGTTAATAGCCATGTCTGAGAGGGCGCAAAACCGGGTCATTAGTTTTTCAATTTCCTCCATGTTTTGTTTTGAGGCTTCTACCATCAGAGTCAGGTCGTCTGCAAACAATGAGCAAACTTGTATTGCCTCTCGTGGGATAGAGGCCACCTGAATCCTGCTAATATTCTGGTTAGCTCTAAGATTAGCTGCCAGGGCTTCCATCGCCGAGCAACAAGTGTGCCAGATTGAAGGCATACTCACACTGTCTTCTGCCCCCGAATACAACAACTTTACGATCATTGTGCTTTATGATGAATGTGTACTTCGAGATTGGCCAGGATCGTAACATAGCTGTATTTTTTAGTACCACGGCAGCCCCGGCCGGATAACCTCACTGGAATATCCGGCCGGTTCATCCAGCCTCCGGTTTATCAGGAAAAACTGGAATGGCCTGGAAAAATGGAGGTTTTTTTTTTTTTTTTTTTTTTTTTGCGGGGGGTTCATTTGTGCTAGGTATAGGGTACCCAAGGTCAAAAAATGGTGGTGTTTTAGGAACTTTTAGCAAATATCATTTTCTGGCCATTTGGTGTCTATGTGTGTGTGTGTGTGTTAGTGTCATTGATTGACTGCCCCCTAATGTTCATAATAGTTGCGTTGGGGTGGGGGGCACACACTCACGCACGCACACAGATCATACCTGACTCTCACAGACATGCATAAGTCTGATCCATACACACTGATTGATTGATTCATGGAATGATGGATTGCTGCAGGGGGCACACACTGACAGACTCGCTTTCTTTCACACCTCACATGCATGTAAACAGGTAGCGCAGGAAACTGGTGACAAGCGCCCACCCAAAACTTAGAGATGTGGTAACCAAGAAACCAGTTCAGATACAAGCTCACTTCAGATGGCTATGGCGCACCAGCGCCTGTACCACTCTCTGTTCGTCACTAGCCCAACTCTGCTGTTCACACACAGGATCACCCTGGATATCCCACACGCAACTCACTGTACACACACGCACACACACGCTACACCCTTCTCTCAGCTATGGTGGCTATGGCCGCTACTACCTCTACCGCTATGGCTAAGCTCTCCTTTGGCCCACTTCGTCTTCGGGCATACTGCAGACCACCTACGCAGAAATGAATGAATGGCTGGGCGCTGCCTCTTGATTTATACTTATGTAACTCGTTGGTCTGCCCCTTCCCCATGCCCGTGGTGCACACAGTCCCATACGGTACTTGCTTGACTGGACTAGGACTGACTGGGACAGGGCACTGCTGACTCAGCACGGGTGGACTCCACCACTTGCCCACTTGCTTCTGGCCTACTGCGAGCAACGTGTGAAGGGCCACTTCCGGACCTTCCGGAAGTCCGTGGACTTGGCACTTCAACATTGTAGCAGCTACGACCTTGACCTTTCAGAAGTCCTACAGCTACGACTTCTAGGACCTACTAAGACCTACAAACAACAGGTCTACAACTCGAACCCCTACAACCTACGGACCTACGACAGCCTACTAACTGCTGTGGATACACAGGTCACGGGTTCAACTATCGGGGTCGACACAGATACTGTACACAGGTAAGGTGAGGACTAGGGATCAAGCCGTGGGATCTGCATCCGCTAATGCGAACAGGTGAATACCGTTTCACTCCCACCGGCCTAAATTCGAGGTCCTCCGAGAATAGTTCAGTCCAAGGCAGGACCCTTAGCCTTCTTTTCTCTTTCGTAAGCTCTACGTCGGGAGCTGTTTCTAGAAGTTCAACTCTAGTAAACCAACGGTTGTCCTCGGGTTCCTGATAAGCAAATATGACTTTATACTGTTTCTGCGGACGACCTCTACCTCCTGTTCTAAATACATCTTCACCTACAATGCCCTCAATGTCATATTTTCCATCCGTGTCCAGAGGGATCATGGATCTTCTTGACGGAAACTGTTGACTTGTCACACACGGCAACAACTTTGATGCATGAAACACGGGGTAGGTGTGGAGGTGTGCTGGGATCTCTACTGTGTAGGACGACCCATCCTCTCCGCCCTTAACTTCTAGAACTGGCCACGATCCTCTATATGCGGGCAGTAACTTCTGCGAGATGTTTTCCTCAGGAGCAAACTCCTTGGACTTGACCTAGACCAGGTCGCCTACTTGAAACTGTGACGGGCGACGGTGCTTGTTAGCCTCTTCTATCATTCGGTGCTGGGCCTTCCTGTGGTTCCAATTGAATCGATTGATTCGATTGGATCTTGATTTTCATTCAATCAAGATCCAATCTAATCAATCGATTCGATTGGATCTTGATTTTCATTAAATCAAGATCCAATCTAATCAATCGATTTGATTGATTGATTGATTGACCGACCGACCGACCGACCGACCGACCGCCCGACCGCCCGCCCGACCGACCGACCGCCCGACCGCCCGACCGCCAGACCGCCAGACCGCCAGACCGCCAGACGGACGGACTTTGACTTTGACTGACTGACTGACTGACTGACTGATTGATTGACTGACTGACTGACTAACTAACTAAAAAAAAGAGACGGGGGGGAGGGTCGACGTCCGTGCCGACAGGGTCGCTGTCGTCCCCCTCCTCCTCCTCCTCCTCCTCCCTTCTCCTCCTTCCCCTCCTCCTTTTCGTCGCCATCCCCCTCCTGCTCTTCGTCCTCTTCCTCCTCTTCCTCCTTGTCTTCCTTTACCGCCTCCTCCTCCTCTTTTTCATCCTCCTCCTCCTCCTCCTC